TTATTCTCTGGTAAAGATCTCAACATTCACTAAATAGCTTTTGAGTACAGTGGACCCTCAAATTACAATCAGTCTCATATACAAACAACTTGGGTTACCATGAGAATTTTAGTTTTAACTTATGACTAAAGTCTTGAGTTACAGTCCAAATGCTGGCTGATTTTATGATGTAAACAAAGTCTCACGATGCCAGAGCATACATAAGGGTAAATCTGAGCCCAGATGTGCATGTTGTGGACATGATTTCAATCAGTGCTTCAGATAATCACTACAATTACTGCTATCAAAATGGCCCCCCAAAAACTAAAAAAGCTAAAGAAGGAAGGAAAGGGAAAGAAAACAATCACAACTGAAAAGAAGGAAACTGTGGAGAAATATGAGAGTGGCATTGGTGTGACTGATCTTGCTAATATGTACAGCATGTCAAAATCCATAATCTTTACAATCTTACAGAGAAAAGATTTGTATAAGGAAGCTAGTGTTGCTTAAGGTATACTCAAATTAGTAAGTCATGATGAACAGTGTTAGACAAGCTAGAAAGGCTATTATTAGTGTGGATAAATGAAAGGCCAATGGCAAAACTTTTCTGAGTCTATACTTTGTGAAAAAGTTAGGGTTATAGGGGGATGGGGATCTAGCTCAATGGTTCCATTGCCTGCCTTGCAAGCACAACAAACTGAGTTTAATCCCTGGTACCAAATAAAAGTTAGGGCTATAAATGCAGATCCCACAAAGGAGAATCCATCAACAAGTGATACTAGTGAAACATTTTGTGCCTGTAAGGGGTAGTTTCACAATTTTAAAACAAGAACTGGGGTTTATAGCATAACTAGGCATGGTAAAGTAGCCAGTGATGATAAAAGAGCTGCTGGAAATTACATACACCATTTCAAAACAGTGACACAGAAAAATGGCTTTTGTTCTCATCAAGTTTTCAACTGTGATGAAACTGACCTATTCTGGAAGAAAATGCCCAGAAGAACATACATTACTCAGGAAGAGAAGAAAGAAAATGCCAGGCCACAAGCCTATGAAGGATAGGCTAACCTTATTGCTATGTGCCAATATGAGAGGTAACTTCAAGGTAAAGCCTCTCTTGGTCTCCGAGAACCCTAGAATGTTCAGAAAACATAAAATCATGGAGAACAGGCTAGGGGTCATGTGGAGATCTAATGCAAAAGCCTGGGTAACTAGTACTTTTTCTTGAACAGATCAGGGAGGCTTTCTGTCCTACTCTTAAAAAATATCTAGAGGATGAAGGTTTACCTCTCAAGGTTCTCCTCATCATGGACAATGCTCCTGCTCACCCATGAGATCTGGAAGAATTGTCTGAAGAATGTCTATGGTACTCCATCGAGTTCCTCCCACCTAATACAACTCCTTTCCTGCAGCACATGGACCAGCAGGTTATAGTTAACTTTAATACACTATACACCAAGGAACTGTTCCTGAAGTGCTTCCAGATGGTCTCAGATACAGATTTAACCCTTAAAGAGTTCTGTAAGAACATTATACAACATCCTTTCCTGTGTGGGATTGAGAAATCCTGGGCCAGTCCTCAAAGGGCACTGAAATCTGCCAGAAAGAAAGTGTGGCCTAAAATTATATAGAAGAAAGACTTTGAAGAGGCTGAGCCTTCAGCTGACCCTGTGGTTGACAACATTGTCCTTACAGCAGAGTCCATAGGCTTGCATATAAACAGTGGTGATGTTAAGGAGCTGGTGGAGGAACAGAGGGACTGTCTACAGAGGAACTTCAGCAACTTCTCGCTGAGCAACAGAATGGCAGCTGAGGAACTTTCTGAAGAGAGGGATCAACAATCAGTTCAGCAAAGTTCTTCTGAAATAAAGGAAATCCTGAAAAAATGGACAGAGCTATAAACACTTCTAGAGAAGACCCACCAACACAGAGAAAAAGCCAATTGTTGCATTCACTTGCTTAATGACAATGTCATGTCATACTACAGAGCAGTGTTAAAGATAAAAACAGATAACCTTACACCAGTTTTTAGTTCTGAAAAAGTTGAGACCCAATGCGCCAAAAGCAGGTTGGACAACAGAGCCAGATTTCCCATATTTTTATGGAAAGGGGCTCTCCTTCTAAATAATAACCACCTTCCATTTCATCCTCTCTTCCAGCAAGCCAAAGATGTCAATTTGAATAGTGAGTACAGTATGAAATTGTTGTTTCTGGCAAACAAGGTACATTTCATAACTTTTTGGTGAACATACTAGAAAAATTATTGGTGTTTCTGGTAAATTATGCATATTATACAACCCTTTTTATTATGAAAAGGTTAGTTAAAGAGTGCTTTAGGAGGTTCAGAACACATTATGGGTATTTCCATTATTTCTTATGGAAAAAAACAACTGAGTTACAATCAACTTGCATTACAACCGGCCCTCGAGAATGGACTGAGTTCATAAGTCAAGGGTCCATGGTATCTTTTACATTTCAGTATCTCTACTAGGCACTGGTAGTGTAATGGTGAAGAAACAGAGAAATTTTGTCTATACCCTCACAGAGCTAACAGATGAGCTAGAAGGATGGACAGGGAATGAATCATCTTAAGGGCAAGGAGAGCTACAAAATGAGGATGAAGTATATTCTGAAAGTGGTAGTGGACTCCCTAGTGCTCTGATCATTTCTCTCCAGCATTTAACAGGAAAGCCAAAAGCTTTGTCCTGCAACCACCTATGACAGACAATCCTTGGTGAGATCACTGCTCTATGATCGGGTGGGATATGGAAGGTCCTTGCAAGATGGGGTGGAATATGGTAGGTACTTGCAAGCTATTTGTCTTGAGTAATCAGTCCTCAACCAATGCCAAATGAGAGCTAAGTACCCAGCCTTTCACCTTCTGGGTGGAACAAGCCTGAGATTTTTCTTTGCTTTCTCCAGAGTTCCCCAAAAAATCAAATCTGTCACCCACTCTCCTAGCAACATTTTCATTAACACATCTTGAAATAGTTTTCCTTCTTCTCCCTCATTTCCCAATTTTCTTATCGGAGCTTTCTAAGATTACTTTCCAAGTAAACTACTTACATTCAAACTACAACCTCAAGACATATATCTGGGAGAACCCAGTAGGTGACTGAAGCAAGTAACAGGGAGACTTGACCCAGACCTAGGAGACTTGACCCAGATTGGATCCTGAATGCCTTATCTGCCATGTCATGAATTTTTTTTTTTTTTTTTTTTTTTTTTTTTTTTTTTTTTTTTTTTTTTTTTTTTTTTTTTTTTTTTTTTTTTTTTTTTTGGTACTGGGATCAAACTCAGGACCTTGCATTTGTGAGGCAGGCATGATGCAACTGAACTAAATCCCCAGCCTCACAAATTTTTTATTATGGCTCTATTGGAAGCCATGTGAGGCCTTAAACAAGGGAGTCTGTGGTAGAATGTGGAAAAAGACTGAATTCAGGAAAAGTAGGTGGGAAGCTATTTCTTCAGTCAAGAGAAGACTAGGAACTGCACTAGGGAAAAGGAATAAAGATAGAGCCTACCATATAATGCCTAACTCATAGTAGCTGTTCAACAAAGATTTCAGATAAAAATTAATGAATGGATTCAATCTACAAAATCTCTGGGTAGACTGACAAAAACTGAAGATTGCTGAGATCTAAAGGTGAGGCTAAAGTAACTCCCAGTCTTAAATAACTAAGGGGATACAAGTGCCAATTACTAAGTAGGGAACACAACCTTTAGGAGGAGGAACAAATTGGAGGAGTTGGACATAATGAGTTTGGCCGTCAATGCCTGTGAGCTGTCTAAGTGATGCTGAGTATGCAAGTCTGGAGCTGTGTTGAAGCTATATATTTGGTTCTCATCAGATATAGATGCTGAGTGCAACAGGCACTCGCTAGCCACATGGAAATTTTACCCTGAAGAGATCCATTTTCTCCTACTCTCTGGCAGTCTCATACAGTATTTTAGAAGGGGTACAAGAAAGATCTAACATTTACTGAAAAATTACTATATTCCAGGAATTGTACCAGGCATTTATTTAGTCTTTGGCTCTGAGAGGTATGCAATACAATCTTCATTTTATAAATGAGGAAATGGAGGTGCAGAAAGGCAAAGTCACTTGTCCATAGCTACATAACTTGGAATTAGTCTCAGAAGAACCCACATTGACTAGAAATTTCATGTTCTAAAAGAAAATGAGCGTAAACCAGGTGTAGTTCTGTAAGCTATATCTCTCAGCATCAGATTCTACAATGGCAGTTCCCAAAGTTAGGTGCATTCAATAGAAGAAAGATGATCTTGTTTTAGTGTCCAAAGACTACTGTCTCTATATGTAATAACCTGTCTACTGCTCATGGCTTCACAGCTTTCTCTCCAAGTGGTCCCCCTGTTGGTGATCCTGTGGTACATAACCCTAGCTGAAGTCTCGATTTTTCTCTCTAGATTTGCCTTTTTTTTTTTGGTACTAGGGATTGAACTCGGGACCTTATGCTTGTACGAAAGGTAGGTAGCAGAACCACTGAGCTAAATCCCCAGGCCTAGATTTGCTTTTTCTGGACAATACATTTAAATAGAATAATATAACATGGCCTTTTGGCAGTGGTTTCCTTAGCTAGTGTGCTTTGTAAAAGGTAAACTAAGTACCCCAAACCACATGCAGGGAAAAATTCACATCCTCATTATTCCTCTTATTAAAAATGCAGTGTTGGGCTGGGGATTTAGCTCAGCGGTTCGGTGGCCTGCCTTGCAAGTGCAAGGACCTGAGTTCAATCCCCAGTACCAAAAAAAAAAAAAAAAAAAAAAAAAAAAAAAATGCAGTGTACTATGCTAGCTTTGCTATACTCGTGGGTATTACTCACAATGGACTTTTACATTTCCTCCTACATACAAATCCAGTTCTTAAAAGCTGGAAATTAGCATTCTTACTGCCTCAACCTCCAGAAGTGAGACAGTATTCCCTATGTTCTCGTTCTTTCAGTATGTTTACTGATCATAGTTTCATAGACTACTTCCCAGTGTGGGGGTGGGCACCTCACCTGAGTCAAAGAAGCCTTCAGAGATTATGCAAACTGACAATTTGAGCCAGAGAGATGAGGTCACTCTTTCTGCCAGCAACTTGTGTCTTGCAAAGGGCAGAGCCTGGGACATGTTCCTTGGACCAGAAACAAGTTCCAAGTGAGAGGTCCTTAGGCAAAAGAAAGGTTGGAAACGTGGTCAGTGGAGTTCATCTGGAACATGGTACTGGCACTTCCCACCCTCCTCCACACCAGCCAGAGTAAATGTCTGTCAATCATAACAGAGCCTCTCATCCTCAGCATGGCTCAAACCAATGCGACCTGTTTCTGCTTGCTTCTGTATCTGTCTCAGTCTTCTCCCTTCTCTGGGACCCTATTATCTAACCAGAGTAAATTTCTTTAGCTCCATTAGAAACTCATCATTTTCATTTTTACTTCTAGGCCTTTATATGTGCTATGCATTCTGTCCCAGACCCTCCCACCCAATACCCACTAAATCCTTTTTGTCATTAAGTCTCAAATTAGACCTCACTTCTTCTAGGAATTGTTCTCAGGCTCTCGAGACTGGGTTAGGTTTTCCATGGCACCCTGCTTCTCTGCCCCCACTCCTGAGGGTTCTCTAACTGAAATTCCTATTAATTTGGTGGCTGTTCTTTCTCCCTAAACCAACAGCTCTTTCAGGCAGGCATAGAATCTGTCCAACAACTGGCCTCCTAAGATACACTAAGGTAGAACTGCTCAGTCAGGTTGCTCCCAAACTCCTCATCCATACACACTAAAGATAATACATTTTTATTTGTTTTTTGGTACCAGGGATCGAACTTAGGACCTTGCGCTTGTGAGGCAGGCAGTGGAACCACTGAGCTAAATCCCCAGCCTGATAATACATTTTTAGTGTTGTGCTGAATCACTACATTTTAGAGCAATTTTATGCAGTAACAGATTACTAATAAACTAACAAAACCAAGTGGTTTAAAATTACAACCACTTCATTATATCTCTTGCTTTTTATGGCATAAACTGAGCTCGATTCAGCAATACTTAGCTGAAGATGAGGTGCTAGTGTGGATCCAGTGGACTTCACTCACATGTCTGGCATTTTATGGACTAGAAGGTAAGCTAGCTGGAAAGGTTGACCACAATGCCGAGTTGGTGTCTCCAGCATGACTGTCCCATAGTAGGTAGACTTTTTACAAGGCAACTCAATTCTTCCATAGCAAGTATTACAAAAGATCCAAGAAGAATCTGCATGATTTTTTAATGACTTGGCCTCACACGTAATATATACTCATTTCCACCATACTGTATTGGTTGAAGCAGTCAAGAGACCACTTAGTTTCAAGGACAGAGAATAATGACTCCGTATCTTAACAGAAAGGATGTGATACAATTTGAAGTTACTTTTAAAAATTAACTTTACTGAGGCATGATTTACATGCAACAAAGAGTAACCATTTTGAATACATATTTCAATGAGTTTTAACAAACGCATGCACCTTATAACCACCCTACAATCAAAATATAGAGTATTACTTTTATTCTAAAACATTCTCCCTTGCCCCCTTGCAGTCGACCTCCACATCCCCTAATAACAGGAAAGCTTTTCTAGAATTTCTTGATACTTTTCTACACTTGGCTTCTTCACTTAGCTAAATTCTTTTGAGACTCATCTGTGTTACTGCACATATCAAGTTTATTCCTTTCTTAGTGATAGTCTACTTGTGTAGTTATTCTACTTTTTGTATATGTAGTTGCCTATTGATAGATATATGGTTTTGAGATTTAGATTACTAAGAATAATGGTGTTATGAATATTCATTTTCATTTCTCCTGCACAGATAACTAGGAGTGAGGTTGCCAGGCCATGAAGTATATGTTTATGAGACTACCAAATTGTTTCCCAAGATGGCTGTACCATTTTATTTTTCCACCAGCAATATTCAAATGTTCCTTACTCTATATCCTTATCTACATGATACTGTCAGCCTCCTGAAATTGAGCCATTCCAGGGAGTGTGTTGTGGTATTTTGTTGTGGGTTTAATTTGCATTTCTCTGATGACTAAATGGTGTTGAACATCTTTTCATGGCTAATTGGCCATGAATGTATCTTCTTTTGTGGGGTGTCTGCTCAGATCTTTTGATATTTGTAATTAGTTGTTTTGTTTTCTTATTACTGAGTTTTAAGAGCTGTTTATAAATTCTAGGTAACAGTCTTCTGTTACAGGATTGAAAATATTTTCTTCCAGATCATGGCTTTCCTTTTCATATTCTTTGTTGTTGTTTTGGTTTTTTGGGACAGGGTTTTGCTGTATAGTTTATGTTCTTAAACTCACTATGTAGCTCAGGCTGGCCTCAAACTGGTAGTGATCTTCCTGCCTCAACCTCCAAGTGCTGGTATCATGCCTTTCATATCCTTAAAATTAAAGAGAAGTTTTCAGTAGGAATAAAGCCTGATTTTTTAAAATCATCTTTGCCAACTCATAGTCACTACGATTTTCTTCTATTTTACTCTAGAAGTTTTATGGTTTTAACTTTTTATGTTCAGGTCTGATTCTTTTTTCTTTGGTATTGGGGATTGAACTTGGGTCCTTGTGCTTGCATGGCAGGTGGCAGAACCACTTAACTAAATCCCCAGCCCTGATTCATTTTGAGTTAATTTTTTGTATGCTTTTTAAATTTAGAGTCAAGTTTCATATTTTTCCCAAATAGAAATTAACTGGGAAGAGTACCATTTGCGGAAAAGATTTTTCTTTCCTTAACTTGGCACTTTGAGCCAACTGACCATATGAGTGTATTTCTGGATTTTTTTTAGCATGTTCTAGGACTCTATATGTTTATCCTTTTGGGGACATATTATTTATTTTTTGGTATCAGGGATGGAACTCTGGACTACACGCTGGCAAGGCAGGCAGCAGAACCACTGAGCTAAATCTCCAGCCCTGGGGATATATTTTAAAACTACTCTAAGCATGCAACAGTTCATTACTGTTGCACGCTGTCCTGGCATCAGGCTACCCCCTCAGGCACACTTCACATCACTGTGTCCAGGTTCCCGAGGTGCGGCTCTGTCTCCAGTTCCCTTCCTGGGCTCCTCTTACCTCACAGAAAACACAGAGATGATAAAAGAATCCTAAAAATCACTTTCATAGAGGAGGTGAGGGAGAAAAGACAGATGTGATCCTCCCCACTCTTCCCCCAGAGTTCTGGTCATTCAAGTTAAATTTCGATAGAAGAGATGAAGACCAGAAGTAGATTGAAAGGGTAGGCTCAGGGTTAAGCAGGAAAACTGCAACCCTTCCATATAAAGTGGGAAACTATCCCATTTTACAGTATTGCAACACGGCCCTGTACTTTAGGTCTGAACATTATCCTTCTGAGTTTCTCACCCTATCTTCCTAAAGATAGCATAAACTAACTTTTTTCTTCTCAGGAGAATATTCATTTTGCTCTAAGACTTTTTTAGGCAAAGTACTAATTTGTTTCAAAATTTTCAGGAACAAAGTTTTGGGAATAGAAGTTGCAGCAGGGTTTTTCTATTTCTCAAGAGTAAATTTATTATCAGTAAAATGTTGAGTATACTACAAGGTTGAACCAAAACTGTAATCTCTACTTCAGACATCCGGAAATTAGTATGCTATTTAACATTAATATGTGGTTGATTGCTTTACAGCTTGTTTGCAGAATTAGTAATCTTTAATGAAAACAGACGAAAATAATGCAAAACCAAGTGTATTTATGGTTTTTAAAACATCATATTGTCGAGAAAGACTCCTGTAATTTTTTAAAAAGTGTAATGTTACCAGATTTGTGTGTGTGGTTTTGCCAAAAACAGCGTTACTTGGCTTTTTCTACTATAGATACTTTCCTATTTTTGGGCACCTTCAACACAGCAGACTAACAGAAAATTAAGGTCAAATAAGGAAACTCGGCAAATGGTTTCTATCTGGCTTCACTGTCTGACCACCAACTGGCAAACAACATCAGAAAAATTGAGCAGGAAATAAATGATAGGGTAAAAGTACATATTTGATCATGGGCCCAGGCTCTTGTAAAAGAAGCAGGCCTAAGATTTATAGGAAATGATGTGGGAATGAATTCAAAGTGCTGAGAAATCACAAACTATTTTTCCACTTAACAACAAAAATCCCTCCACGATTTAAATGGTAGTAGCTCTTTTTGTCCTGTATTTGCACTTTAGGAAGTTTGCTCTGTAATTCGACCTATTTTTTTTTATTGTAGGGAAGACCAAGCAACTTTTATCGATGTGCAGATCACAGCAAATCACTTAGTAAGTGCGTAACCCTGATAGAGCAAAGGGAGGTTTAAACGAGGTGAAATACAAAGTATTGCAAACTGGTTAATTTTAAACGACTTTTTAGTGACAACAAAAACTTCCTTAAGCAAAAGCGAATTATTTTTGTTGACTCCTTCCGTTGCCTCTCTTTAAGGTTTTAATGTGCTATTAATATGACACAGAATCGACCCCCCAAAAAATATTTTAAAAAATACAAATTCAAAAATGCCAAACAAATAGGAAGAAAGAGGCCAGGAATGGAGGCTGTCTCCCCGGGACCAGCCGGTGAGCACTCGGGGAGGTGAGAAACCTCTGCAGACGAGAACGCCAAGCACAGGGGAATGAAAAGCCATAGGTGTGGGGTTTTTGTTTTTTTCTCCCTCGAATGTGAAGGGATCTGCAAAAAGTTAAAGGAAGGCAGAAACTGGACCTTTACTGCTTTTCCTGAAGTTTAGGAGGAGCCAAGTAGCCCGGGAAGGAGCGCGGGCAGAGCCGAGGGCTCCGCGAGCCAAGCGCCAGCGGTAAGCACGGAGCCCCGGGTCCGCCGTTCCGCCCCGACCAGGCCGGAGCGAGTCGGGAGAAGCACACCTCCGCGGGCACCGGGCACAGCGCATGGAGGCTGCGGCCCCACGCCACGACGAGGCCACAGAAAACACGGACGCGAGGGTGACCGCGCGGGGAGAGAACACAGCTCGTCCCGCGGCTCCACACACCTACCTCTTCCGCGTTTGTCACCGCGGTGGGCGGAGCGCGAGTGCGGAAAACGCCGCATAGAGCGCTGGGAGGAAGCGCGGAACAGGCCTCGGCCCGGACTGTTCTCCGAGTGGCCGCCAGGGGGCGCACCGGCCGCGCTGGCGGCTGAGCCGCGAGGAGGAGGGCGGAGGGCTGAGAGCGGGTGAGGTAGGGCTCGGAAAGCGCGAGCTGCCCGCCTACCGTCCTGCATCGCACCTGCGCGTCGTTGGAGAGATGTCAGGAGGCTGGCCGTGTGCGGCACCTGACTCCTTCCGGTCTGACCTTGCAGGCTTCTGGCGCCTCTCCTCCCCACCCACCCCGTGCCCTGGACTTGCCCCCCGTGTCTCCCCCAGGGCGCGAAGTTCCTGAGCGGCCGGGAGCGAAGGGGGTTCGCATACGGCCACCCCTCTTCACCCGGGAGGCAGGAAAGCAAGCCTTTTTTGAGCGGACCACAACACTAATTTACCTCTTTCTGTCTTGCAGAACCTCCGGGCTGCGTCGCTTTTTTGCCCTCCTAGGTCTGCTGCAGTGGGGCAGGATCAAAGTGTAAAGGTTTGTGACCTTCAGGATGCCCTCACACTGTCCCTACCTCAGTGGCTGCTCAGCCCGGTAATACAGTAGCCCCTTATCTGGGAAGTGCGGTTTCAGTTACCTGACGTCAACTGCTAGTGTGAAAATAGGAAATGCAGAATTCTAGAAATTTGTGAGTTTGAATAACATTTATTACAGTATAGTTATAATTGTTCTGTTTAGTTGTGGAGCCTAATTTATGCTATACTTTATTATAGATGTGTGTACAGGGGAAAAAAACATAATCATATTTATTCCAGTATACAGGGTATGGCACCATCGCCAGGCTCAGGCATCTATCTCCTGGTGTCTTCACATGCACCCTCACGCCTAAGGAGGGACTGCCCTGATGCCTTCTACTGTTCAGGGCTTCATCACTTGACAGTTTTCCCAAAGCATTGGAGCCTCATTAACAGCCTTGACAGGAAATGGGGAAGATGGAGACCGGATGAAACAGGGTCAGAGAGTTTTTAGACTTGGTACTCGGGTCCTTGCGCTTGCAAGGCAGGCCACCGTACCGCTGAGCTAAATCCCCGACAGTTTTTAGACTTTTATAGTACCTTCTTCCCTCACTCCCCTCCTTACCCCCAAATTCTGTTAGGCAGAGAGAGTTGAAGAAACGGTGTAGATGGGAAAAGACACCCCAGCAAAGCCAAAGAAGAGAGGCTTGTTACAGGAAGATTTATTTCTGTGAAGGCAGAGAGGAAAATAATAAGGCCTTACGCTTACCAGTGTTTGTGATCATTGCTCCTGGATTCCTTGCAGGCTCCTCCAAGACCTGACTCCAGTGGACCCTCTATATATTCACTACTGCTCTTGAAGGTAGAGAGAAGCCTTTTGTTCTCCACTGACAGCATGTGCGTTGTTACCTACACAATGTTTTTTTTTTTTTTGGTTTTCTTTTTTGATATTTCTAAGGTTGAAGGACAGAAGGAACTGAAAAAATGTAGTTCGGATTACTAGAGAAATTAGTATAATAAACTGAATATTAAACTATTGGTTATTAGCAATTCTGGATCAAAGACAGACCAATTTTAAAGCTAAGAATCCAGTATGATTTGGGAACTACAGTTAAAAATGGGCCAGTGACTAAACAATTTTCATTAGTAAAGAAAATAAAGGCTAATGTAATTTTGATCATCATTCCAAGTGAAAGTTGAAAATATCATTCATCTAGATATTTTGAATACCTAGATTGGAATATATGATTTTAAAATTATTTCTCCAAACTTAGAGACTATTTGGGGCTATATACACATAATCTACATAAAATGAAGGTTGAAATATTTTTTTAAAAACTGACCTTTTGGCAATATTGTAATTTCTGTTTAAATGATTGTTTTTTAAATGTACTGGACAACATTCCTAACTGTATTAAAAAATATGTTCTGATGAGCCAAATTAAACTTTTTTCCTTATAAGTTAAAAAAAGTTTCTGGCATCAGTGAAAACTGTGGTCTAAAAGTAATTTTAGTTTCTAAATTTAGGGTCTGCTTAATATTACTGGCAAATAGGGATATCAGTAAAGAAAGTAAACATACAATACTTGTAAATCAATTGCTCAAATCAAGTATTCATCAATCACCTGGTTTGTGTCCATAGGAGCTGCTGCATTTTGTACCAACATGTATTTTTGAGTTCCCAAAGATAAGGGAACTGAAGTAGTTAATTGTTGCTCAGCACTAAATTAATTATTTTATTAAATCTGAATGCCAGAAATGTTTTTCATATGGGTGCATTGCCTTACAATTAACACTATAATGAGTTCTGCAGCTTTTAAATTACAATGCTTTTTAACAAGACTCTTAGAAATGCTGCTATTGCTACTTATTTTTTTAATTCATTAAGTTTATTGGTACATTTTAGTTATACAATATGATGACATTCATAATTGGGAATTTGTACCTTTACATGATATCTTGGTTATTTTTTCCCATTCTCCTCCCCTTCCTTCAACCCCTCCACCTCTCCCTATTTACAAAGACTGTTACAGTTTTTTCCTTTTCTCATATTTATCCCTTTCTCTTTTTTCCTTTCCCCTGACCCTATTTCCCCTTCCCCTTTGGACCTTTTCTTCCTATTTCACATTATCTGTTATACATTTTGATCCTCATTTACACATTCAGCTTCTCACACCAGATAAACTATTCGGTATTTACATGTGTGGTTCTATTTATTTCACTTGAGTATGGCCTCAATGTGCATCCATTTAGCTCTAAGTGTCTCTAGCTTCTCATTCTTTATGGCTGAGTAATACTCCATTTATAAGAAAAAAACCCTACACCTTCTGTATCCAGTTATTAGTTGATGGGCAATTGGGCTGTTTCCAAGTTTTAGCTATTACAAACTGTGCCTCTATAAACCACAAGAACTTCATAAACACATGGAAATTGAATGTCACACTCCTGAACAACCAATGGGTCACAGAGGAAATTAAAGAAGAAATTAGACAGTTTCTACAATTAAATGACAATGCCAGTATAGCATATCAGAATTTAGGGGACACAATGAAAGCAGTCAGACAGGGGAAATCCATAGCAGTGAATACTCATATTAGGAAAACAGAGCAAACTGAAATAAATAACCTATTGCTGAACCTCAAAATCTTAATTCTAGTTTCTTTCTGTTTATTTACCACTCCGAGTTCTCCCTCTTTTTCTGGATTTTAGCCTGAAAGCTTTTCATTCATTTCTTAATTCTTTGATACAAAGGAAGCAAATAGGAGAGCCATAGATATATGCAAAGAGTATTTGTGGGCAGCACTTTCAGGAGAACTTCATATTCCTTTATGTGGCATTAACCCATGTCACAACATAAGTTGATACCCGAGAATGACAGATTCCCATTCTTCACTGATCACTTGAACACTTAAGATATGGCTGTGGTCACATTAGGTGGAAGATAAAGAGGAGAATATCACTGGGAATATTTTTTCCTAACTAATCTGGAAATACTACAATCTTTCATAAAGAAATGTAGTGACTTTATTTGAAGAAAATATAAAGACGTGTTTCTGGTACTAGAAAGCCTAGTAATTATGGCTTTCTCATTGAGCAAATATCCACAAAAAATAGCAACTAATAAAAATAATGCATTGCTTATATAAGCATAAATGTTGTCCTTCTAGTTGTCTTAAAATGCTTATTTTCAAATTTCTAGGTACATTATTTTTCAAACTACATAAACAGTAAGAATCCCTTAAGCATTTGCTTTTTTTCTCCTAGGATATTATTTAAAGTTTTTAGGAGTACTGGTTTTATGAACTTCCTCAGGTGTTTTTGTCATGAAGGTATCTCATTTCCCCATCAATTCTGAAAGATAATTTTGCAGGGTGCATCAATCTAGGTTTCTTTTAGGGCTTGAAATACTCCACTTCAGGCTCTTCCTGACTTGAGGTTTTGTTTTGAGGAAACTATCGTGATTCTGATGGACTTCACTTGGCATGTGGCTTGTTTCTTTTCCCTAACTGCTTGTAGTGTTTTGTTCTTCTGTTGGGTTTCTGGAATCTTGACTACTATATACCTATGTGTAGTTTCTTTTTTTTTTTTTTTTTTTTTTTTTTTTTTTTTTTTTTTTTTTTTTTTTAACCATGGCTAGTTGAAGTCCTATATGCCTCACTTATCTATATGTCAAATTCTTTTCCCCTGCTTGGGAAGTTTTCTGCCATTACTTCTACAAACAGATTTTTTTTCAATGTCATTTGCATTATCTCCTGTTTCTTCATTGACTCTGATGAGTCTTATGTTATTCTTTGCATCATCTAGGAGCTGCTGGATTGATTTCTCGTGGTCCCTTGCTATTTTTAAGAAATGTTTTATTTTCCCGGTCACTAATCACAATCCTGTCTTCTATATCTGATATTCTATCCTCACATTGGTCCATTCTACTGCATAAACTTGCAATGGAACTTCAATTTAATCTTCTGGAAATCTGTTTGCATCTGTTATATGGATTCCATTTGTTTCCTATGCGGGATTCCATCATGTTCCTGGCATCTCTATTTTTTTTAAATCTGCATCTGCTCTAGAGTTATTAAACATGTCTTTCTCTATGGATACAATTTCCATTGTCATCTGAGAAATTATTTCTGATTTCATTTTTTCCAGATCATCTTTCACTGCTAGTTCAGGGAGTCCAGGCAGTTGAGTATCAGATTGTTCATTCTTGTTGACCCTTGGGGTTGCCTTTTGTGATCTTGAAGTCTGGTTTTGATTCTTGTTTAGGTGTCCTTTCATTTCAACCAGTGCAGTCCACTGTGCTTTTCTTGAGGTGACTCTGCTCTCCCAGTGGACTTAAATTCTCAACAAGCCTCAGAGGCCTTCTCTCTGTTGCTCACCACTGTGTCAATTCCTGGATTCAGAATGATGGCCTTCTGGATCCCCACACTGGGCTGTTGTCCAGGCAGGCCTCTGGCTGGGGCCTACAGGCCTGCACAGCTGTTGCCTGGGAGGGCTATTGCTACTATTATTATTATCTGACTTACATAGATTTATAGCCAGTTAATGGCTGAGCCAGGACTAGACTTTAAGACTCCCAATATCCATAGAGAGAGCTTTATCTATATCATACTCTCATCACATTATGGAATTTTACTAAAAATTTTGTCATTATAAAATACTATTAAGTAAATAATTTTAATTTGCAATTATATAAAACATCAGTCACAAAACATCACGATCCATTTTATGTCCAGAAAGGTGTTGGAAAGAACTGTTATCTTGCTCAGCCTCTACACAATTAAGGGAGGCATTAGGAGGCTTCTGGATATTCATGACACACAAAGCTAAGAAAAGCATCCTTAGGAGGTTTGTAGATGTTGAAGCAGGGCCCTGGGACTCTACAGGAAGGAATGTAAACTCTTTATGCATGGGTAATTTTGCAGAGTCAAAGCATTATGGAAAAACTGCATTGGAAGATGACAGTGTATGTCCATTTTTACTAAACAGATTTCTTACTTTTCACTGAAAAGCATTTGGGGAATATTTTTTGAAAACAATTTCTCAAAGAAAATTATTGTGGAGTAGACTGTGGAAAAGTTAAGTTTCTCACAATTTTTATTACAGTTTTGCAGCAGAATGCTTTTTCCTTCCTTTCCATTTGAATAAGGCTACTGCTGCTGCTTTGAGGTAAGTAGTTCAGGGCCAGGTAAGGGATTGTGTACAAAAAGGGCACTAACTAGATATTTGCAGTTACTGACAAATAGATTAGAGATGCATTTGTCGGGGAATTGTTCTAAGTGTAACCTTTCTGGAAGATAATATTTACTTTGTGAATATTTTTCTAAGATTCTCACCCTTTATTGAGAAACCCTCTGGGTGGCCAGGAAATGGCCACCATTAACACTGTAAACATGTAAACATTTACAATGTTTATGGCAGTCCCATTTGTTTGAAGGACATTATCAAATGCAAAAGTACATTCTGAGGTAGTCATTAGCTTATTGCAATGCAATGGGTTAAACAGGCAATCTAACTGACTTACTCATTTTCTAGAAATTGTATCAAACAATAAATCTTAATATAGTTTTATGCACAAATCATTTGTGCTATAATGGAGCCACATTGTCACTCATATTTTATTAAAATTCTTTGCCATGAACTGCAGTTAGGTAACTATACATTAGAGAATTAAAAACATGAAAGCCAGCTAACCAAGGTAATTGAGCAAGATGAGCTCATTTTTCCTGCAGTGCCAGATGGGTCCACAGGTGGGGACCTTGACACTTGATCTCTTCCATATGACTCAGGAAGAAAGACATTAGTGTTGACATTTAACTTTTAAATAAAATATTTTGCAGTAAAATCATAATTATATAGTAAGACATGTTTTTAAATAAAACATTGGCCAGTATGCTATCATTTTGTGCAATAGCCAAGATAAAAATTCTTACTCTAAAATAGAAAATGATATAAAAATTTAACTCTTCATCTAAAGGAGAAGAGACCAAGTTTTTCTTAGCTAATAATTTTCTACAGACAGTGCTGTTCAAATGATGCAGTTTGGTATTGAACTCACTGAATTATTCTCAACACTTTCACATTTGAGAAAACTTTTTTAATGTATTAAATCTTTTTGTAGTTCCTCATGTGCTTTTTAGTATTTGCCTTCATGTCTACTTGAATTTGTTCACATACAGTGTTGTATATACTTGTTTAGAGAAGTCTCAGATTCAAAGACAGCATGTCTTTGAGAAAGCATATGTGAGCAGCATGTATACAGACAAAATGTTTCATTTCACCAAGTTTTTCCATTGTGGATCTGAATGGTCTATGCAGACTGACAATTTGGTAACCCGAACTAATAATGAAAATTAACAATAGCAAACTTCAGAGATTAGTCTTTTCACAAATCTCTGTAATTGGCAGTAAGCTGACATTGTCTGCTTTATAGTTACCTGGAATTTGAAGAAGTGTGATTTGGTGCTGTAACTGAAGAGAAAGAGGAAGGAATAATAACACTTATTAAGCTCTTTCTGTATGAGACACTGTCAGGTGATTTAAATATTAGCTTATTTAATCCTTGTAATAAGAAAGAGTGTTATCATTTTTACTTTACAGATGATGATTCTGAAGTTAAAAAAGATGAAGTAACTTTGTCAAGGTCACACGGTGGTGGGTCCAGAATTGAAATAAATGTCTGCCTGATTCATCTATCCATTTGAATATTCATTGGACCAGGATGTATTGTGTCTGTTGCATTAGGCAAGGAAATACAGTAATGCACAAGAATCACATCATCCTCATTCTCAAGTTTCAATCATTTAACCAGATCATTACAAAGATTATGTGCTTTCTACTACACCAAACTACTGATAAATACATTGTAGATTATGCTCTTATTTTTTTTTTTTTTTTTTTTTTCGTACCGGGGATCGAACTTGGGTCCTTGTGCTTGCAAGGCAGGCAGTGGAGCTAAATCCCCAGCCTATGCTCTTAATCTTAGGAGAATAGTGGAAATCAGGCCCAGCCTGATGGCACACACCTGTAATTCCAGCACTCGGGAGGCTGAGGCAGGAGGATCACTGTAAGTTTGAGACCAGCCAGCCTGGGCTACATAGTGAGTTCCAGGTCAATCTCAACAATATAATGAGACTGTCTCAAAAAATCAAAACAACAACAACAACAAAAAAAAATAGTGGAAATCAAAAGATAAAAATCTATTAAGGAAAACCACACTCTGAAATGTGTATTTTAGTATCTAAACCAAATCTATGAAATATTCCTGCCTAATAGAAACATTGAGGAACACTGGGCCTTGATTTTCCTTCATAAAAAATTACTTATAATGTTTATTATTAAATATAAAAGCAATTAATGCTTTATGAAAAGCTATTGTTATTTGCATTTATAAATCTCCTAACCATTTAAAAGCATTTAGTGTACGAAGAGAACATTTCAGTGTATGTTGTTCTTTACAACAGCCCCGGTCAATTCTAATTCTTTCAGATCCTTGCTTCTTGGTGCTGATATAAAACTGTGATTTGATGGGTTGGTTTTTTAAGACAGTGTCTTGCTACATAGTCCAGACCAGCCTTGAATTTGCTACGTAGCCTATGTTGGCCTCCAACTCATGATCCTTACTACCTCAGCCTCCCAAGTGCTAGGATTACAGGTGTGTGCCACAACATCTGGCTCTTGTTTTTATAATTTAAAAAAATAAACATGTATTGAGCCGCTGCTATATGCAGTGCACTCTGCCAAACAATGATAAATAAAATTTTAAAAATTAAGTCCTGTGCTCTGAAAGGAGCTTGATAGAACTGATATAGATGGATAGCATAGGAGAATGAGTCTTAGAATGTTCTGGATAGGGTAAGTGCTATGCCTGAGCTAAATATGGAACTCACCAGACTCAAGAAGGCATTTGACCCATGATGTTCCAGTCTTGTTGATCTTAGATCTGGGGATAAGCAAGCAATCAGAATAGAAAAGCTAGTTTTGTTTTTCTTTTGGGGTTGCTTTTTCCAGTACTGGGGATTGACCTGAGAGCCTTGTACATGTTAGGTAAGCACTGTACCACTGAGCTACATCCCCAGCCCACTTTAAGATTATTTTATTTTTTGAAAAAGGTTCTGACTAAGTAGCACAGGCTGGTCTCGAACTTGCAATCTTTCTTCCTCAGTCTCTCAGGTAGCTGGAATTTACAGGTGTATACCACCTTACCCAGTGAAAAGCTAGTTTTAAATTAAGTAATGATGGTGTCTAATCTGGAGTAAACACAAGTAGTGGAGCAAATATGGAATTTATTCAGTTTATCTGTTTCTTTTTAAAAACAGATATATTTCTTGATAGCTAACCGGAACAATGGAAAGCATGGGGAAAGCAAATAAAAAGGATATACAAAATGGACCATCAAAAGAATTCAAACTGCCTGCCAGTGAAGCACTTCTAGACTACCAGTAAGTTTGTGCTCTGAAAGCTACAATTTGCCTTATGTAAATGTAATTGTTAGGATGTATATAACTACAAATGAAAAGGATGCCCCAACAACTGACAAGAGAATAAAGATAGTAGGAGACATAATTACACTGTTGTGCTATATGCACATTTTCAAAGGGTTCTGAAGCTTTGGCTGTGTAAATAGCATCTGTGAAGCAGCATTCACTGATGTGGTCTTGGCTCCCTCCATTATGTTGCTATTTTTTGTTTTTGTGTACTGGGCATTGAACTCCAGCCCTTGCGCTTATCAACGCAAGCAGTGGAACCACTGAGCTAAATCCCCAGCCCTCCCTCTATTATGTAATGGCCACTCTATCCCTCATACATACAGTTTGCTGGCTTCCTCTTAAATTCTACATGAAAGGATTAAAATATATTCAAAGACGAGCACAAGAGGATTTTAATTTATTTCTCCATATTTTAGACAGTCTAACATTCATTATTCTTAGATGGCCATAAATCAAATATAAGTGATTTAGATATAATTATTTTTAGAGATGAGAACATTTCATAATGTTTCACATCAGGAACTGGAGAGAAAACTAGAGGTGACACATACTTTACACTGTGGTTTCATTCCAGCAAATAGCCCTTTGAAAACTTGTAAACCTCAACTTTTGGCAGAGGACGGGTGTTTTAACATATGGTATTGAGGGAATTAATAGATAACCATTAATCTTTTCCCAAATAAGACGGACATTATTTCATTTTCTCATTCAATAAGTACTCCAGAATTTACTACGAGCAAGACAAGTGCTAGGTAAGGGAGTAGCAGCAAACAGGATCAAACAGTCCTTGCCCAAGGAAGCATGGAAGACAGACATTTAAATTAGAAAATACATTATTATACCTCTTGCTATAATAAAGGTACTATGAAAGAAAAGAATAGACTGCTGCTTAATAGTAGAGCTAAAGGCCTGGCCTACACAGGAGATAAAGCATATTTGAGGAAATCATGTTTGAACTGACATACGGAAGAGAATCAGATATTGTGGAGAAAGAGTGAAGGAAAGAATGGTTTATGGAGATTCAAAGATTACTAGGATTCAAAAGAGCTTATCACAGTCTGGGAACTGAGAGAGCAGAGAGAGATGGCAACGGCAAATGCAGGTGATTAAGGCAACAGTTAGAAAGTGACTAATAAAATACTTTTTGAGCAACTGAACTTTAAAAATATTTACCCCCAAAATATAAGTTCATATACTTCTGTGATTGTTTGTGAAATGATACTGACCATGTTAAATCTCTTTTCTAAGCATACTGTGATATTTTATGATATAAGTGATATTTTAGAGAGGGAGCTGAGAGGATGTCAGATTCAGAATCAGTGGGAATTTGTGAGCACATGCTTTATGCTAGAAACACTTACATATTTCTTATTCTAACCCTTAAAATATATAGAGCTGGGTATTGCTATCATCATCTGATAGTGTGGAAAGAGAATTTGATTCACTTATGAGCAAGTATGTAAGAAGTGGTAAGGACAAGATTATTTAAAACCAGAATTCCTCACTCTTTTTTTTATGAGCTTTTTTTTTCTCTCATTGAGTTTATTGGTACATTTTAGGTATACAGTACAAAATTCCTTATTCTTTATCCAGTGCTATTTACTACACCAAAGGTGGTATATTTTTGCTCAGTTTTGCTTTATTTTTGATTGATGCAAAGGATAAAGGTGTTTCTTGTGCCTTATTTTTGTCTCTAATTTAAAATTATAAGATTTACTAGATAATAGCAATAATGTGATTTATTAACACAATTTACGTTGCAATCACTATCAGATAGCCTGTACCAAAGCCTTCCTTCTCTTTCTTTTTTTTGTCTTTTCATGCCTTAGATATGCTCAACAAATTACTGTTGCGTGGTAAAGAAATATATTTACGCCAGGAAAGAAGCTTTTATTATTTATAGAAAAGACCATATATTTATGAATTTCAACCAATTGGCATTCCTAGATTATCTTGGTATTTCAAAATATGCTTGCCTTTATAAAGTCTTCATTTGTCATGTTTGTCTGTTTTTTAGAATCTAGGAAGCATGTTTTTTGTGAGCCTTTCCCTACGTTTTCTTGAAGCTGAATTAATTATAAATAATTAGAAAGTATAGAAATTACAGTTATAAAATATAAGCAGGAATTGTTTCAATAAAAATCTACCTCTCCAATGTATTTAATGAGTTAAATAGATTCAAAACTCTAGGACTTCCAAGTGTGGTGGTGTACACCTGTATCCCAGTACCCTGGAAAGCTGAGTCAGGAGAATAGCAAGTTCAAGCCCAATCTGGGCAATTTATGAAGGCTCTGTCTTAAATGAAAAAATTAAAAATGGGCTTGGGTTGCCTGCCTCGTAAGCACAAGGTCTTGAGTTTGATCCCCAGGACCAAAAAAAAACAGGCAGGGGATGTAGCTCAGTGCAAAGTTGCTGGGTTCAATCCCCCATACTCCCTGCCCCCACAAACACAAATCATTTAAGGAAGGTTCTTATCCCTAAATGGGCTTTTGTAATGTATTAACAATGTACATGAATTCCAACATTTATCTTTTAAATTTCATCTCATTAATTTTTTAAGATAAATAATTGTAACATATCTCTCTTTATTCTCAGCCGTCAAATAAAGGAAAACACAGTGGAGAGATTCATGTTTCAAATTAAGAAGCTTAGAGAAAAGAACCAAAAGTATCATGAAAGAGTGAGTATAAAATTTAGCATATTTATATAACTATTAAACATTTACATATATGCTTTAAAATTGAATTATGATGAAACATACCCTAAGAAATTATCTTTAAAGCTTGGAATCAATTGAATTATAATTCATTTATGTTCCTTTACATGTGAGGCAAGAGGGTACTAATGTTCCCATTCTATTATGTCAGTAGAAGTCAGCTTAATTACATTATTTATATTACGAGGAAAATAGTTTAAAATTTTAAAGCTTTGAAACCACATTTACATTTTGAAATATTTAACCAAACTATAAAACACTGGTTCTGTATTTTTAACCTCTGAAAGTTTCTCCTAAATTTTTAGAGAGTGTACATATGTAAATACCTTTTAAAAATCTATAATCTCAGATGTTAAAATGACTGGATATTTAAGATGATATATTGTTTTTTAAAAATTGGATTAAAATGAATGTTAAAGGGTGCTGTGCACACCTATCAAGACTAAAGATCAACAGAAACAAAGTTTGAAAATAATAAATAAGTAACACAACTTATTCCTCAGGGTATCTCATTAATACACATTTATCTTTTATACATGTACCTACACATTTATTTTGTGGACCCAAGACTTCTACAGTTAACTATCTTATTTGGCTTCTGTTTATAAAGATTATATCTTCTAATTTTAATGGAATCTAGAGTCAAAGATTTGTGTCTACATCCTAATGTATAACTTACCAATAATCTCTTTTTGGCCAAAGTTAGTATAAGCTTCAGTTTTCCTCTTGTGAAATGGAGATTCCTCTTTTCTCCACAGGGCTAAATTTTTACTTCATTTAGCAAGTATTTTTTGAACAAGACAAGCACTGGTGGTAACAAATTATGGTTCTGATGCTATCACAATTTTCAAGGATCAATATTCATAATAGGGACTAAAACAGGTCTGTGAATAAGAGTGCAAAAAAGTCTGGTGTAGGTGTTTGAATGTAGGTTTCACATGATGAGATTCAGAGCACAAAAGAGTAAGGCATCAAGGAAACAAAGCACATCCTCCAGTTGTGACTTCTAGGTCAGGTTAGGTTACAGGGACTATAGTAGATCAGTACTGAGTCACCACTTTCCCAATTATCCCATCATTTGGAGTCAAAAAGAATTGAATTTCTTATTTCCATGAATATTAGCTCAAGAATGACACCAAAATCTGCATATTAGTAGGCCCAGCAGAGAGGAATATGAAAAGACTCTAGTTCAAACTGTATGTGACTGAACTTCATTTCTTTTTCTTTATGTTAATGCCTTAATCAAGTCACTATCATCTTCATCTCTTACACAAGCTTTCCCCTCTACTACATGTTCCACAAAGCAACCAGAATTACCCTTTGAATACTGTAAGCCTTTCAGTGATTAAGATCCTTTAGTGGCTTCCTATGGCACAGAAAATAAAATCCATAGACCTTACTAAAGTCTTTAGGGCCCTAGAAAACCTAGCCTTTACCCACCTCTCCTACCTTGTTTCCAGCTAATCCATGCTTTGTTTACCATTGTTTTTTTTTTTTTTTTCAGCCTTAGAAAAATCAGTCTCTTTCCTATTGTACCAATGTTATAGCTTGTGTCTAGTCTGCCCAAAGCCTCATGAATTCACAGGTGGGGCTTTTCAGAAGAGGCTGGATCTAGGGTGTGTGATGACTAAATGGGTTTATCATAGTTCTGGGTGTGGATAATGGAAGCCCCACCCTGGATATGGGTGGCACCAATTAATAGGCTTGTAGAGCCTTGGTGGAATATAAATAAAGGGAAAGAGGGAAGGGAGGCTAGTTGCTGTTACTGATGCTGCTGCTGCTGCTTGCTGCTTCCTGCATTGGTGAGCTGTTTCTTCTCTATGATGCCCCTCTGCCATGCTACCCTGCTTTGGCGCCAGCTATGGACTGAAACTTCTACAAACTGTGAGCTGAAATAAACCTTTCCTCTAACTTGTGGGCCTCAGGTATTTTGTGTCAGCAACAAGAAAAGAAACTGAGAAACCCAAGATGTTTCGTCTTCCTAAGTATGCTTTTCTCTTAACTAGCACCTTTTAATTCTCCTGGTCTAAGGTGAAATATTATGTAAAAATATATCTCCATATTAAACTGAAAACTTTTTAGGTAATAGCAATCAAATCTTATCTATTTTTGTTTCTCTGGAAGAGCCTAGCATGAGTTCAGTTTTAGAAATAGTTGACTGAATTCATAGTAGCAGCAGTGGAAAAATTTTGAGGCCATAGATATTTAAATTAATAAGAAATATTTTGTCTCCTGAGTTATATCAAAATTTTCTACCAACTCTCTGACCATTTTTTCTTGTTTTTCATTTATTGCTCTTTTCCTTGATATTTACCAGGGTTCTGATCTCTGCCTTTTTCCTCTCTAAATTACATGTGTGTGTGGGGGAGGTCTCACTTAACACTATAGCTTCAAATGCCATCTATATATATATATGATAAAATGTCATGATAGTGCAGTAAAAATAAGTGCACATACAAACTGAAATGAATAATGTATCTTATTTTGTTAATATTTTATAAATGTCAACTTCCTGGGTTTAATAATGCACTATGGTTATCTAAGATATCATCATTTGATCAGAGTTGGGTAAACAGTAGGTTGGAATTCTGCACTATTGGGGAAACTTCTTATTCTTGTTCTTATAAATTCTGAAAAACTAAAAGAGCAAAGCTTATGAAATGACCTATGAAAATAAAATCATTCCTTTTTTGGTAGCTTATTTATTAAATATACTTTTCCCATATTTTTAACTTGATGATTATTTGCTTTTCGTTGTAGAATAAACATTTTTACCCATTCATCTGTTGATAGACATATAAGCTGCTCCCAAGGTTTAGCTATTAGTTATTTAGCTGCTATAAACACAAGTATGCCTGTATCCCTATAATATTATGTCTATAACTTTTCTGTGAAAATGCCTACAAGGGAAATAGCTGGGTCAAATGCAGTTTTTTGTTTTAATTTTTTGAGGAGTCTCCATAATGATTTCCATAGTAGTTATACTAGTTTACATTTCCACCGACAATATAGAATGGTTCTGTTTTCTCCACAGCCTCATCAGCATTTCTTATGACTTCACTTCTTTTTTTTTTTTTTTTTTTTTTTTTTTTTGGTACCGGGGATCGAACTCGGGTCCTTGTGCTTGCGAGGCAGGCGGCAGAACCACTGAGCTAAATCCCTGGCCTGACTTCACTTCTTGATGTTGGCTCTTATATGAGAAACCAAAAATATAAATAAACAGAAAAATACCAAATAATAGGAAGTAAGCAGATAGATCTTTCTCAAGTGGAAAGGGGATCAAAAGATGGAAGAAGGGGCAAAGGGATGAGAAAAGGAATTAAGATGTGTTATGTACATATACCAACTTTCTACAATAAATATGAACATTATATACTACAAACATGTACTAATAAAAAATATGGCAAAGAACGATGCCAGAAGAGTAAACATTTTTGCACATTGGCAGGTACATCCTATGTTTTTCAGTTCCAAATTTTTTCATTTGATTTTTCTTTGTATATTCTATAGAGACCTTCTACATTTTTGTTTCAAGCATGTTCATCATTGCTCATGGAGAACCATTTTTATCATGGCTGCTTTAAATCTTTGTCAAGTAATTCTATCAGTCACTTTAATGTTAGCAGCTGTTGATTATCCTGTTTCATTCAGTTTGAAATCCTCTTGACTCTTGGTATGATGAGTGATTTATTAAAACCTGGATATTTTGTGTTCTTATGAGGCTCTGGATCTTATTTATAACCTTTTACTCTATCTAGATTTTATTGATACTTACCTCACTCTGACAGGGAAAGTGGGTATGTTACCTTGTTACTGTCTGGCAAAAATAGTTTAGGCTCTCCTAAACTATTGGCTTTCATTGACACCTGAAGGTGGGGAGATTCTCATTATTATTAGGCATGGATGGGAGTTTGCCTTTGTGTATTTTGGGGTTCTGCTGTTATATTATGAATTAATTTCCTTGGGCTTCCATAACAGATTGCTACAGACCGTGAGCATTGAAAAAAACCAGAAGTTTATTCTTTCACAGTTCATGGTGCCAGAACTTGAAAATCAAGACGTTGGCATAATCAGTGTGTAAGGACATCATGGGCAAGATTGGTTCCTTCTGAATGTTTTCTGGAATAAATCATCCCATCTCCTAATTCTGGTGTTCCTAGTAGTCCTTGACATTACTTGCCTTATAAACATCACTACAATCTCTGGCGCCACCTTCACATTTTATGTGTGTGTGTGTTTCATACTGTCTTTTAATAAAAGATGCCAGTTATTAGCGTTAGGTTTTATCCTAATCTAGTATGACCTCATCTTAATTAAATACATTTGTAAAAACTATTTCCAATAAAGACGTATCCTGTTTGTTTTCTATGCCTCATGTTCTTTTTGTTCTTCTACTCTTCTATTATTGCCTTCTTTTGTATTAAATATTTCCTAGTGTACCATTTTATCTCTCTGATATTTCTTTTATTGTATTTTCTTGGTAGTTTCCCTGGGGATTCCTAATCTTAACTATAACAATCTCGTTCAGATTAATGCCAGCTTAATTTCAATAACTACAAAAGCACTTTCACTTCCTCCCTCTTCATTTGTATTCTTATCATCATAGCTAATACACTTTATACATTGTCTGCCCATAAACATAGATTGATAATTATTGTATTATGGAGTTGTCTTTTAAATTAAATAGGGGGAAATCATAAAAATACATTTATTTTGCCTTCATACTTGCCTATGTTGGTAATTTTATTAATGTATGTATTTTTTTCTCATGGATTCAGGTTACTATCTTGTTTTCCTCACCTCATTGTAATTATTATAGGGAAAGACTTGTTGTGATTAATTTTTACACATAATAAGATAGCAAGGGAAAGAATAAACTTTAAATTGATTAAATAAGCAGCATATGAGCATGAATGGGCTAGCTACAAAAACAACCTGGTCCATATTTCAAGTGTGAAATTTTTAATGGTAATTATCTGTAATCCTAGTAAAAGAGAATTAGGGTCATTTGTGGGGAAAAAAAGCAAACAATAATGTAAGTTCTACAAAAGCAATAATTTCCTTTCCTGTCTTTTTCACGGATGAAGCCCTAGTAGTACCCAGCATACTACCTAGCACATGGTAAATTACTAGATGAATAAGGAATGGTAGAAAAGAACAGTTTTGGTGGGAAATTGAAAACATTTATTTCCAAGGTTTAGCTTTGATGTTCTTTGATCCTATGATAGCATGACAGACTGCACAGTTTTTAAAATGTAACATTCAACCAAAAAAAAAAAAAAAAGCCGGGCGTGATAGCGCACGCCTGTAATTCCAACACTTGGGAGGCTGAGGCAGGAGGACTGCTGTGAGTTTGAGACCAGCCTAGGCTACATAATGAGTTCCAGATCAGTCTCAACTACATAGTGAGACTCTATCTCAAAAAACCAAAAAATAAATAAAAATTTAAAAAATGTAACATTCTATCCAGTGGTTATTGCATTGATAGATTTTGAGTCTTAACCCATAACCTTCTAAGGGTATTGCTGTATAATTTATTTAATTGTGTTTCTCACTTTGCAAACCTCAGTATATCCCTCTGTTTTGGGAAAACAATGTAATTTGTTCAGGGAATATTGTTAATTACTGTTGATTCTCATGACAGAATAGACGCTTAAAAGAGGAACAGAACTGGCACATAAAGAATCTGCTAAAGGAACTGAGTGAGAAGAAATCAGACGGATTGCCAGTTGTAACCAGAGAGGATGTTGAAGAGGCAATGAAGGAAAAATGGGAGTTTGAAAGAAACCAGGAAAAGAACTTGGGAGGTGACTTAGTAACCTAGGAAATCATCACAAAATTTGTATCAGTTATTTCTTAAACATATTAATACTTTTGTCTTCCATTGTGTTGGCACAGGGTTAAGACTCACACTCTGCTCAAATGAGAGGACAGCTGCCTGTTTGGGTTATAGAAGAATTAGTAATTGTGAATACATAACACACACCCACACCCCCCCCACACACATTGTTTTTTTAAAAAAGCATGTCTTGGGTCCTTTTAGACTTGTGGATTGAAGAACATACTTCTTACCTGACAGGAATGCTGTATTCAATAAATTTATTGAGTATCAACTAATTGCAAGGCTTTGTGCCAAGGGTTGGATTTACATAGATGAATAAAATGTGCTCTTCCCCTTAAGTAATTTTCAAACAAGGTGGTGTGTGGTAGTAGCCATACATCCAATAAGCTCCTTGGACTTGGCTCTGGGTAATGATAAATAGACAGGCAGACAGACAATCACAACCCAAATCACAAATCATTCTTGTTTTGTTTTCTTGTACTGGGGATTGAACCTAGGGCCTTAACATTGAGCTACATTCTTGAGGCTGGGCTCAAACTTACACTCCTCTTGGCTCAGCCTCCAAGAGTGTTGGGGTTACAGGAGTGTACCACAATGACTGGCTACAAGTCTACATTATAATTGGGAATTTAATTTTACTTGATTATGGACAGTTTAGTTTAGATTTCTAAAAATTGTATATATAAAATAATATTTATAAGCTAATGGCATTTCAACAGCAGACTTAATTTCAACAGTAATGGCTCAATTGAAATTAAACAGTATTTTTTCTTTCCAACAGATATGCGCACACAAATAACTAATGCCGAGAAACTATTTCTTGAGAAATTCGGTGAAAAAGAATATTGGGAAGAGTACAAGAATGTAAGGAGTGAACAACATGCTAAACTCATTACCTCCTTACAAAATGACATCAATAAAGTTAAAGAGAATGCAGAGAAAATGTCAGGTCAGTTGCAGTAAAACTAGCTCAAATTCAATAAAAGATCTTCAAAGAGCATTCATTTGATAGAAGCAAAAAATGGGCACTCCCTGAGTTGTTCATTTCTCTCTGCTGTCAGCACAGCCAACTGTGAACCTTCAGAAAACGGAGAGTCTGTGTGTGTGTGTGTGTGTGTGTGTGTGTGTGTGTCTCTTGGGGGGACAGTGTTGAGGACCAGAGTCAAAGGAAAAGTTGTTACCATCTTCCAAGTCTGCCTCAAGGGAATGCAGGTGAAATACCACTGGAAAGGGGGAAGGTGATCCTCCAAAAAGCCTATAAAAACATTTCCATGAGAGAGGGAGTAAGCCTTGAATGCTGACTAGGAGAGGAAGTGAACATGAGTTTGAGACAGTATCAGCCAGGTAAGAGCTTTTTTCCATGCTCCCTACCTAAAGAGGGGGCATGGAGGCTCAAGGCAGGGGAAATAGCAGTTGGTCCAAGCTAGCAAAGAGGATTCACCACAACTTTTAGTGAACTTTAAAATTTTGATTATTGTAATAGATTGGACATATTAAGTACTTAAGACCTTTTATTACTACTAAGTGCCAGAAAAGTCATAGGATTTCCCATATATTTTGTTGAGTGGAAATCACTAGCTACACAGTATAAATAGTATTTTAAAGGCAAGAAAGGAAATACAATTACTCGACCTCCCATGGAGCACTGCTTTTGGATGGCAGTATGCAGTGAGAATGGGAGGACTGAAGACAGCATCAGGCCACAGCACAGGCTCAGTGGCTCTCGGGATGGCTCCTCCCTGCATTATCTCATCATTTGAGACCATCTATCTCTGGGCACCTCTGCTTGCTTTGTGGGACTATTCCCATTCTCTGCTTGCTTCTTACAGATAATCTTTTTAGTAAAATATTCTCTAGCCTAGATTCTGAAGAGAGCTGGTGTTATCGTCCACCTAATCAGAAATGACCAGTGTTTGCCCATGTGTCCTTGTGGGTCCCTGTTCAGCCCCAGACCAAACTTCTTTGGTCAGATGTTCAACTCTACTTTCCTTAGTAGCCACCTCTGAGCCCTGGGGGCAGAAGAAAGCACCTCAAACTGTTGTCCTGTGTGTCAGCTTGAGGAGCTGTTGGGGCATTGAGTACAGAAAATAGTCACTGATATATCCAGGGTAAGGATACTTCTCCTCCAAAATGGGAAAGAACAACTTAGATTAGGCCTAGGAATAGAGAAGTACATATTTATTATAAATAGATATAGTCACACAGCATTTTTATTCTGTACTTCACCAGAGGCGCAGAACAGAGATTCTAAAACTACTTTGTACCCTAAAAGTGAATTAAAAGATTTGGGCTCAAGTCCACTTATAAAAAGCAACAGTACACCTTTAAGTCTTAATTTCTTCATTTATAAATGAGAATCTTCATATGTTCTCCAAGAGACTCACATTTCCAGCAGGTGCTTTTCCAGCATCTCCTCCTGGTCTGTTGGAAGATAAGACCTGCATATTTTCTTCTGTACAGCATAAGATCCCAAGAATTCTGCTTTGACAGCCTTAACCTGTGAAGAATTATTCCGACTAAAACAATATACTTCATGGCAGTTAGGTTCTATAGCATTCTTTCAACATTTTTATTTAGTTAAAGAATAAGTTAAATAGGTTTCTGTGGACCTGTCTAGAATTCTAGCAATCATGATCTTCAACATTATTGTATGGAAAAATACATCTTGATTTCCAAATAATTACCTTGTATATGATACAAATAGAATACAGTTAATGGGACATATAACACTGATGTTATAATAAAATACAACTAACTTTACTAATTGTCAGATTAAGTCTTTTGAATTAGGACAGTTGCTTCGTATTTCACATTTCTGACTACATGACCCACTTTCAAAAAAGCTTTTTCTGATCATCATATCTGAAGGAGATTTTTAGTTTTTCTTCATCACCAACTGAAATTATTTGTTTTCTTATTTATGGTATGCCTTCTCCACAAAGGTATACATATCAGAGGTAGGGATTTTGTCTCAATCAGAAATGTTCAGTAATGTCTGACGTATAGAAAGATCTTGATAATTATTTTTAAAAATGAAGAAACTGAGCTTCTTTTATTCAGCTTTATTTCTCTTCTCTGTCTAAAGCCGCTTTAATGTCACTGTGCCTCAATTTCCTTAAAAATCATTTATGCTTTTCAAGCAACTTTTGAGGTCTAAAATGTATGACCCTTCCTCTCTCAATAACCACATTTACAAGCATAAGAAAGCATGGAGAGGACAGAGAGCCCTGCACCTTGTCCCTGTCCTCCTTTCGCTGTGAGTGCAGCATACCATTGGGTCTCCCAACTCCCAGTCCCTCCTCTACTCATCCTCTTTGCATTCCTTCTGTCTGCCCCAGGAAATGGCATGAACGTTGGAAATCTTGTGAGATGGAGTCAGATGCACAGGATGTTACTCTAGCAGATAATAACATCTTTATTTTCTCATTGTGGATTCATAAGTTGTGTGAACCATGTGATAACCTGTCACAAGTATTAAAGGGTTTAAAATTCTCTCTTTAGAGAGACAGTCCTTTGAAAACACAAATATTCCTGGAGATCTTGGAGTCATCCACATTAAAGTTTTTACAAATTTGGGTATTTCTTCTAACTGGAGGAGCTAGATGCCTCAGTAAAAATGTAACCTGAGGATTTAGAGGAAAAAATGGGGAGAAAGGAGAGGTAAGGATAGTGGAAGGTAAAATTTACTAACATAGTTTTACCTAGGATCAGTCTTATTAGGACTTCTGATTTTCTCTTTAAAGAACAGTATAAAAAAACTCTGGAAGATGCTAGAAAGAAAATAATCAAAGACACTTTGCTGCAACTGGACCAAAAGAAGGAATGGGCCATACAGGTATATTTCAGATAAGACCTGGCACATTCAGGGTGATATGGCTGGAGATGGTATATTTCAATTTTCTTAAAACTTCCCTTTTATTCGGTTTACAAAAAATAATTTTGTAGCTGGACATGGTGGTACATGCCTGTCATCCCAGCATTCTGGGACGCTGAGGCAAGAGAGTCACAAATATAAGCCCAGCCTGGGCTTAACAAGACCATGGCTCAAAATTTTAAAAGGGAGCAGATTTAGAGATGTGGCTGAATGTGAAGGCCTTGGGTTCAATGCCCAGCACCCCCCACAGACACACACAATGGGGTGGGGGAGGGCACAGGGATTTAGCTCGGTGGTGTCACTGCCTGCCTTGTAAGCACAAGGTCCTGAGTTCAATCCCCAACACCAAAAAAGAAAAAAAAATATTAGTGCAATGTGTTATAGTGGTTAAAAATTTGGGTCTTGATTTAAGCAGTTTGGAGTTTAAATTGTAGTTCTACCTCTGACTGGCTGCATAAGAAAATTTGTTACTTAATTTTACTGAGCTTATGTTCTTTAATTTATAAAGTAAAAACACTAGCAGTATTTAATCTTAAAGAAATTTGAGCAGTGAATAAGATGATTTAAGTAGCACAGTGTCTCACAAAAAGTAATTAGTGATTTTTAAAGTATAATAATTATGATTTTAGCAAAATTAAAATAAATATTTTGAATGAGTTATAGAATGAAAAATAATTTGTCTGAACAATACTTTCTTACACATCCAAACCTAGGAGCATAAGCACTCCCTATATTGCTGTTGTTTTAAAAGTTTGGGATATAAAATATTTTTTGAGATAAAATTTCTAATGAATATGTTCTCTAATTTCTTCTACAGAAAATGTTTGTTCCGCCCCCTCCCCCCTTCCCAGTGCTCCTATCTCTAAACTATTTTCTAAATCAGTATGAGAATGTTCCTTTATCCAGAGCATTGTTTCTTAAGAATTGTAAATATCTGGTCTTTTCAAAAGTCCTTTTTGAGTTTCAGCTGCTGTTTTTAGTTGCACCCCTGTCGGTTCACTTGTTCTTACAATGTTACTCTCCTATCACACAATTTTTACTAATTTATACAAACATAGGGGAGTATGGAATTGATCAATGGTTTGTCTGCCCATGCATCCGGGTGACAGAATCTGACTAAATGGTGAAATCAACCATTGATATAGTTGATTATTAAAAATGCACATGTAAATGAAATAAGCCTCTAACTTGAAGCATGTCATGAGGACTGTCTCAAATACTCTTATAAGCATCTTACATTTAAATTTCTCAGCAACCCTAAAAGGTATAGGAACTTGCTAATAAGAAATGTGAGACATAGAGAAATAGTATGACTTGCCCAGAGAAAGTGGGAACACCCAGACCCAATTCAATTCTTCTTCAAATTATTGCTCATAGTCACTACACATTATCTTTTTTTCTACATAATGCTTATCAATCATATGCTTGAATGAATTTTCCTCCTATTATTTAGCTATTTTACCATTACAGTTCAACTTCCTATAATCCAGTGCTGTGTAGTCTTAGCTAAACGTGGGTGTGTCACTGCAGTGTTTTTTAACCCCAGTCGTGTCTGGGTCCCACTCATAGAGATGCTAGTGTAATTGCCCTGGAATGATGCATAGATTTATGGATTTTTCATAGCTCTCTAGAGATTCTAATGTGTAGCCAAAGTTGAAGCCACTTCTCCATTGTAAGTGAATTAAGCTGTTAGTCAACTAACCTCAGGAACTATTTCCTACTTTTGTTGAAATTTTATATTGGAGGAAACTAGAACTGTTATAGTTGAAGTACAGAAGTTCCTGCTTCCTAGGAAATACATGTCCACTCTTAGTTCACTAAACATGATTTAAAGATCTTTTTATTTGAAAGTCTTCCAGGGCTGAGGATATATATAGCTCAGTGGTTCTGGTGCCTGCCTTGCAAGCACAAGGGCCTGAGTTCAATCCCCGGTACAAAAAAATAAAAAAGTCTGAAAATCTTCCATCTCTAAAGATTTAAAGATAAATTTACCCTTAAAATACCTTTAAATTATTTCTGTCCATGTTTATGATCTAGACTCCCCCCCCCACTAGAATATTTTTCTTAGCTGTTCTCCCTTCGGTTCTGCCCTTCACTTACTGAATATTGAATCTGTAACATAATTTCTATATAAAAGCATCTCCAGAAAAATACAGTATCATCCACTGTAACATTCTTATAAGTGAAGCTATAAATATCCAAGTATTTGAAAATCAAATATCCATTGTATGAACCTCTGTCAAGGCTTTTCCTATTTTCATTGTCCAAAATGCCTTTTCTTAGAAAATTGTGTAGCTTGTAGCCTGCTACCCTGAAACCACTTGCTATTAGGTTTGTAAACATGTATGTTGTTACTACTGATATGCAAAAAATTTGCTGTATGTTGAGTTGTATCTGACTATAAAAATGTTTGATTACTACAGTTTATCTTAGTTATGAGCAGTTCATTTAATTACTTTCACATCAGTCAGATTCAGTAACACTGGAGGCAAAATGAATGGATAATCAATCACACATTGTTCAGTTCTCTAGATCACCTGTAGTAGAATGTGTAAATCAGCCCCAAAATTGTTAACAGGATAGTAAAAAAAAGAACTAAACAAAAAGATCTTATACATTCTCAAAGTAATTGCAAAACATAATCTAAAATGAATGTAAAGAGGAATTAAGATATATCGTGTACAGGTACAAAATCCCTATTATAAATGTGATCATTATGTATATCTAAAATGTACCAATAAACTTAATTAGCTAAAAATAAATAAAATTGATGTTTGTCCTCATCGCTAACATTGTGAATTACCATGTGGCAACTCTTCCTTATTTCAGAATGCTGTCAGTTTGATTGACAGGGGTAGTTATCAGGAGATCTTGGAGAACGACTGGCTAAAAAGAGAGGTGCGTGGAGTTTAACAAAATTTTTCTCATTGTTCTTGAACTGGAAAAAAATTTTAATTATAAATTGAAGTCACTGGAAAAGTCTTAAACTTTGACTAAGATAAATGTAATTAAGGGAAAGACTTATTACAAGTTGTTATTCATCATGTAATCTCAATAATAATCAAAAGCAATTGTTAAGTTTACAGTCTACTGAAGTACAGTTCCTTCATGTACTACTTCTAGGTGATGGGTAAAGGATCATCCTAACTGCTAATTTAAATTGTCTCTTTTGGATATCTCCATTGGATAAAGTGTTCAGTCTTCAGGCTTCTTTCTTTCCCCTGATTTTCTTCAAGGTGGTCCCTTGACGTCCCTGCCTTGATAGGAAAGGGGTCTTACATGACTTTTTGTGGCTATGATACTAAAGAAAACTCAGATTCATGACATTTCCTTTAGTTGCATACTTGCTCCTTCCCTTTCTCCAATGGAAGAAGTGCTCTGGTCTTCTTAGTGCATTGGTGACTTCTGAAATGGACTGTTTTGGCTTTTTGGACATTGTGTCATAGCCAACACCAAATCCATAATGTAGCCATTGGCTATATTCAAGATGTCCCTGTCCAATGTATCGCACCCAAATCGGATCCTAAGAATCCTCTACTTCTGAAGAACATAACAGAAACTGCTGAGCCCATGTATGCTGCCTTAGACTCAGCTGTCTGAGGTACAAATTCCCAATGATGAATGTCATCATATTATATATCTAAAATGTACCAATAAAATGAATGAATTAAAAAAAATATATAGCTTAGATCCTGGGTGAAGGGAACAGTTATATCAAAACCTTTGTGCACTGTTTATGCTGTGTTTTAAGATGGTAAATTGTATCCTCTCTCTCCTGAAGGACCACTGAAATAAAATTATAACAGTACAAAAAGGAACTCATCCACAAAGAGAACAGGAGGAATTAACTAGCTGGTGAGGTTACGGCAATTTTTTGGAAGACAAAAAGCAGATGTGAAAGCATGTTGTTGAAAGCATGAAACCAGCAGTTAATATTTAATCCAGATGGTATAAGAGTACTTCAGAGAATGTATGAACTGAATCTGTTTTTGGAAACCTGGGAGATTCTCTACTGAGAGTCTGTGTATATGATAGATGGTAGAAATAGAAACTGAAGCAAAAAAAAAAGCATGTTATATGATGAGCTGTATCAGTAAGCATTCCCCAGGACCTGCTACCATTTCCCCTCACACAGAAGGTTGTGCTCTGAGAACAAGGAACAAAGTACCCGATAAAAGCTGAGGTTTCTCATGAAGACATTAGTAGTTATGCAAAATGTCCTTCCTATAATGGCTTTTAGAAGGCCACAATCTAACATCCCACTCTTGCCTTCTCATCTAAAGTACAGATTGTCAGTCCACCTTCCATGATGCACTGTGTACATCCATGTTCCCAGTGTGAAGAGAAACTTGTTAGAGGAACAGACCTTTTTACATAATGATAGAGAAAACAACACCATTCCTAGACCTTTCTCAAATATAGACAACCAAGGATCACCAAGCATATAAAATAGAACCATCCTAGAAGAAGGGAAAAACCAAATGAAACAACAACAAAATAAAGAGCAACAAAAACTGTCCCTGAAAGAAGTAGAATAACTTCAGGGAGTATATTAATAACAAATCTGAGAAGGAATATAATTTAGAGAATAAGATAATTTAAGACAAAAACAATCAAATAAGCAGGATGTGGGAGTGTGTGCCCATCATTCCCAGAAAGAAAAAAATAGAAGGAAATAATCAATGGAGTAGTAGAAAAACATTTCAGTGGGATGAAGAAGACATGAGTTTTTAGAACACCAAAAACAAAAGGAAACAGGAGGATCACAAATTCTAGTCCAGCCTGGACAACTTAGCAACTTAGGAAGACCTTGTCTCAAAATGTAAAAGAGAAAGAAAAAAGGAGGTGGGATTGGGGATGTAGCTATGTGACGGTCCTGGATTCAATCCCCAGTATCACAACATAAAGATTACAAAAATAAGAAACAGAGAACAATCGCTTAGAACAGGGAAGATAATACCAAAAAAGAAGGGATAAGAGATAATAGTACTAATGTACAATATATAATATCCAAGGAATAATAATTCCAGAAAGAAAAAAAAACAGAGGGAAGGAAATCATCAATGGAGTAATAAAAGAAGATTTCAATGGGCGAAAAAGACAACTTTTAGAGCACTAAAAAGGAAAATCCTAAAATTTTCTGCAAGAAAGTAGTGGGGATAAGGAGGGTATTTACTCTAAAGAAATAAAACCAAACTGGCAATCAGTTTTTCAGTAGCAAAGTGCAGATGGAAAATTATTTTTAACTTGGAATTGTATATTCAGCAAGAGTAGATTAAGGGCACAATACAGTTATTCTCAGAAATGTGTGGTATATTTACTTCTAAACCTTCCTCAGGAATTTACGTAGCAGTACACTTCAGCAAAACAAGATAGTAAACTGAGTAAGAGAAAAACAGGAAACAATGTCCCTCCCAGCAGAACAGGGAAGAAATGTCTGAGGATAATTGTGCCGTAGGCCTAAAAAGCATCCAGACTGCAAGTGATCTCACTTCCAGGTTCCAAATCCAGACATTCAACAAACAGCTTTGCAACTCCACCTAATGCACCACAGACATTGCAAACTCCTAAATTGAATTCATCTCTTCCTTTGCCCCAAACTGCTTATGTTCTCTGTCCCAATTAAGGATCTCTTCCAAGCTAGAAATCTGAGAGTTTATTAGAAATGCCCTTTACTTCCCCATTCCAGAGTCCTCTAAACCCTCAGTTCTACTTTCAACAAGGTCTCCTCTACTTCGTTGTCATTGCCCTAGTTCAGGCCCTCATTATTGCTTACACAGATCCTTCCATTGTGTCATAGATGATTTTCCTCCCCCTTGACCACAAATTTCCCTTCTCCTTTACCTTGCCTCAGAGACATCTTTCTAAAACACAAACCTTACTGTGCAGTCTTCTAGTTAAAATCTTTCAATGTCTGATTCTCTAGTCGGTGCAGAGGTGCTCAGGAACATGAAAAGGGGCCTCTGTAAGGAGTTGGTTTTGGAAGTTGGTTTTGCACCATACAGACAGGTTTGTATCCTTCCTGGAGGGTGAGAATCACTGAACCCTGAGTTTCTGGGTCCTGAGAACAGCAGTACCTTAGACTTACCTAGCTCAGTCACCCATCTACTGGTACCGGGATCAAACTCAGGACTTGGAGCTTGCGAAGCAGGCAGCAGAACCACTGAGCTAAATCCCCAGCCCACCCATCTACTTCTTGAAATTCTCTTTTTACCCAGGGAAGTAGCCACCCACCCTGTACTTAAATGCAATCCATGAAACAAATCTCACTTTTTGTGAAAGCTCACTTCTCACTATATAGTACAAGTGGGTCTCATTAGCAAGTTAATCTTTCATGATTATCAAGTGCACATCTTCCGTTAGTACTTCTTCAGCTCTGGACCTACACTTTATTTAACTGCTCAATATTTCTACACAGATGTTCAGACTCATTGTACCTACAGCAGGATGCATTAATGCACCCTTAAACTTTTTCCTCTTCAATTTTCTTTTCACCATCTACCCAGACACTCAAATGTCAATGTCAGCTTCTCCTCTTTCCTTTTCCTTGTTTCTTATGTGACCGAGTAGACTCAGTGAGTCTAGGAAACAAGCTATTTTAAAATGTATATACTTTCTATGGTATTGACAACTATCTTCAAGTGCCTTTTAAATTCATGGTGAAAAGAGTTCATACTGTTCAGAAATTTTTATTGACAACTATCTTCAAGTGCCTTTTAAATTCATGGTGAAAAGAGTTCATACTGTCCTCAGAAATTTATCAGGATGAATCTCCAATTTAAAACAAGGTGATAATTATATTATATATATATATTATATATGTTATATATATATAAATTAAAGGTGGACTTAGAACATTAGGGAGAAATTTCTTATGCTTTTATTAAGTAAGAAAGTATGATCCTATAATAACTATTCAGCTCTTAATTTTATAGGGTGTCATAGATCTTAGGCTTAGGGAAATTGACTACAAAAATTTATTTGATTTAAAAATTTTTTTGATTTTATTACAAAAAATTCTATTTGACAAGATGCTGTGCTGGTGACTTGACTCTTCCTGTTAAAGCCACAAATTATGTTTTTTTAATCTTCTCATAATTCAGTGAAAATGAAGAAATGTCAATTGTAATTGAATCACAGGCAAAAAACCTTAGTAATAAAGGACAGACCATTTAAAGAAAATTCAATAGACTTAATGTCTTTTTATTTCAATAAATATTCATTATAGTTTTATTAAATTTACTCATTAAATTAATGAAAACTATTTCTGGTTATATTTATTATCACAAGAATTAGAAATTATTGTCCAGAAACAAAACAATGTATATCAGTGAATGCCTTTGGGAAAGGTTTTGAATGAGTAACAAAGTTTATTTAATAATGGAACTGAAAATAGTTCTCTATTTAACTGTCAACAATAAGTAAAAATTTGAATCTCTGGGAAGGATACAGAGATGTATTGTTGTGTGATTTTCATTATCTGTTTTTATTTAACATGCTTATTAGGAAAATGACTAGGTCCCTGATTTAAACTAGTCTTAGCTAAGTTATTTTTCCCAATTTTGTACATTTCTTAAGTATATGGGGGAAAGTGGTCTTTCATTTTTTCCTTTTCACTTTCTTATGCACAAAATCTAAAGGTATTTATGATCATATCACAGTGATGTATGTGCACCCATGTTTATAGCAGCACAATTTGTAATAGCTAAAACTTGGAAACAGCCCATTTGCCCATTCAGAAAATGGATAAAGGAGATGTTTTTCAATAAAATGAAATATTACACAGCATAAAGAATGAGAAATTAGATTCATTCATAGGAAAATGGATACATGTTGAGGATATACTCCTAAGTGAAATACATAAGTCACATATGTGTAAACACCGAATAGTTTCTCTG